GGGGGACTTTAATATTATACCACCAATAATTCTGTATGCCCCAAAATTTACGAGGGCCTGATTCCTCCACCCAGTCGCACCACAATGTCCGATCAGCTTTAGATGAAAAAAATACCCATCTACATGTATCTTGAATAGAAGTCAAAGTATTTGCGACTGAAGGAGGTGGGGGTTGCATTTATTCCGGGGTAAATTTAGCCAGAAAATGTCCGCCAAAGTCAGGTGACTTCCTAAGCTGTGGCGTCGATGGGAACTGCACATTTATTGAAACAATTTATATTTTTGTGAATTTGATTTACATTTTTCAGTAAAGTCCAGACAGAATCTTAGAGGGTTTTTTTAATGACCATGTAAGATTTTGAGCCCCTAACAAAAAATAAATAATAGATGAAAAAAGTTGCCTTGCGAGCAGAAAAACGTCAGATTATTTGAGTTCATTATTTTGACGAGCCCCCGATTTGACCAGGAAGCCTGACATAATAATAAAATAATATGTGCGTTATGTCCAGGTCTAGCATTGAGGACGAGCAGACTTCGAAAACAAAGCATTATTACTTCGTTATTCAAAGAAATTTGTCACTTTTATTTTTTAACCTGAAACTTTAAAAAGCCAAGCAACAACATGTATATAAATATATATATATACTAATTAACTATGCCATCAATACGTATTCCTTCGTTTCGTATAATGGCTCTGTATAATGGCTCGAAATGTGGAGAAACGTTGTCTTTGGTTGGCTGGTGGCCGTACATATCACGTGCCCATTTCGTCCTCAAAGAGTTTAAGTTTAAGTTAATAAATAGAGAACTGTGTGACAAGTGGCGGTTTCAGGCTATTGACTTAGAATCAGGAACATCGTATTGTATCGGTGGCCTAATGGTTGGGCTGTCGGATACGCAAGCGTAAAGTGTGGGTTCGAAACCCTGTCATGGTCCCCAACGTTTTGTTATTGAGAAATGCATTTTCACGATTTTTTTCCCCACTTCACCCAGGTGGGAATAAATACCAAGTTATGGACAGAAGATAGTATTGTCTGTTTGTTAGTGTCTGAGCGCGTAAAATCCGCAGCTTGCACTGCATGCTTCCCGGGAAAACGAGAATGTTTCTGGGTGTTCAAGGGTCTGCTGGGCTCGGGGTAATACTGGTTGTACAGTGCATAGAACTAGCTGTAGAGTATGAATATTGGCTTTATAAATGCAACTGTTATTATTTATTGCATGCCTGGTAGAGAAAAAGGTAACTGACCACAGTCCAGCAGTGACTCACTCACCTGTTTGTTTGCCGCCTCCAGTTTCTTCCTGTGGGCTTCCTCAAGCTGGAACAGAGGCAGGACCAACCATTAGAGCTTTCAAAATGTAGGTGTGTGTGTGTGTGTGTGTGTGTGTGTGTGTGTGTGTGTGTGTGTGTGTG